TGATTCACAGGGTGGGGACATGAGCATCAGACTGGGTCTGCAGGAGACCCAGTCTGACCTTGGTACAGTCCCCAGGCTCTGCCCCAGGCCAGCTTCCTCTTCTGCTCAGGGGAACCTAGGGGGTTCTGGTGCGAGTTTCCTCTTCAGGAGGGTGGGGTTAGAGGATGAGATAACACTGGCCAGAGCTGGGCACAGCCCTGTAATTGTTAGTTTCCCATGAGGATCCCCACTGTTCTTGGTCCTGGCATTTAGAGGACAGGGGCCTTGTGTGATGTGTCCTTGGGTCCCAAGGACAGCTGGGGCCTGGCACAGAGCAGATGTTCCACCTGCACCCTCACTATGCCCAGCAGTGTCTCATCCTCTCTACTATTCTATGTTCCTAATCAGAAACCAGGCAGGAAATGTTTCTGATTTGTGAACTGGAGTCCCATGAAGAGGCGGAGCTGGGTTTGTTGACATACCTAGCAGATGGCTTTGTTAGGGGAAGGGTGTGGCAGTGCTGGAAGCCCCTGGGTTAGGGTGGTTGGCCCCCTCTAAGCAGGGCAGCCCCAGAAGGCGGGGGTGGTGAGGTAGTGTCCAGCTGGGCTGGGTGACACTCGTGATATGCTCAGTTAAGTGAGAAGGCAGCAGCAGAGTGTCCCTGAGGAAGGGACTGTTTGTGGCATTGGGCTTGGGCCAGACTCTGTATCCTCCTGGGAGACAAGTCTTTGGGGAAAAGGGATCCTAAGGGCTCACTGTGCTCTCTGTGGCCCTTCCGTTTTCACATTTCTTATCACTTCTCATCCTCCACACAACTTGATGGGTGAGGTCAGTGCCTCATTCCCATTTTGCACACTGAGAAACAGGTTATTAGGAGCAGCTTGCTTGGCTGGGTCAAAACAGCTCAAAATAGCAAGTCAACGAAGAAGTGGGGTGGGTGAACAAGGGGTCTCAAATCTGCTTTTTGCTGGCTGTGGCCCCACTGGGCCTTGAGTGTGAGCAGTGACCCATGGAGTGGGGTTAAGGCTCAGTTTGGGGGTTCCATGAAGTATCAGGGATAACTGAAAGAAACCCCACCTAATAATGGGAAGGCCTAAATTGTGGGCCTTTTAGGGGCAGCAGGACAGTGAGAGGTGTTGGCTGTGGAGAGGACTATCCTTTTGAGCCCATTGTTGGGCAGAGGGGGCATGGGGTGGGGAGCTCAGAGGAGTGGCCTTTGCAGATTGGAGAGGCTGGGCTTTAGCGCTTGGTGACTGTTCTGAGGGGGTCAGGTTTCCAAGGTGCCATCCTGGGTGTCTACTCAGCCCAAGCCATGGCCCTCCCTATCTCACCTGGGGGCTTTCCTGGATTAGAGTGAGGGGACAGCTAACTTGCAGAAGACACCTTGGCTCAGAGGGGCACAGAGGTGGGGGATAGGGAAAGCCCCAGTAGAGACAACACAAGTAGGGTGGGGGTCTAACTCAAGCAAGCCAGCCAGCCTCCCTCATGCTTCATGTCTCCTCTGGGCTCTGCTTCTTGGAGGCCTCCTCCCCTCCCCACTGCTCAGTACTCGCAATGACAGCTGCCCTTCCATGGGCTCAGGCCTGCCCGGCCTCCACCTGCACACGTTGCTCCCACCCCCACACTCAGGCTGCAGCCTGTCCTCCCCTGCAGGCTGCTGGCTTCCTGAGTCTGTTCAGACAGACGGGGGGACCCATGACCAGGGTCCTGGGAGTGGCTTCGGAGTGAGGGAGCTGGCTCAGGGATGGGTAACTGCCAACCGGGATCCCCATGACAACAGGGTCTCCTGTGACTCATCACTATATCCCTGGGCTTGGAGCACTCAGCAGACATTTATTGAGCATCTGTTGTGGGGCTAGGGATCCCGCAGTGGACAAGATGGTCAGTGCCCTCCTCTTTCTGGCTCAGTCCACTACAGGAAGGAGACAGTAGCTAGGGAAACGTGTTCCCTGACCCAAGAGGATGTCAGGTAGCAGAGAGTGCTGGGAAATAAAATGAAGTAGTGCAAGGTAGTGCCAAGTGTGGGGTGGAGGGCATCCCCCAGGAGGTACCTTCTAAGAAAGCCCCCCCAAACAGGAAGGAGCCAGACATGGGACAATCAGGGAAGAACATTCCAGGCAGAAGGAACAGAAAATGCAGAGGCCTTGAGGTGGGAGGGTAGAGAGTGTGCAGAAGCTTCGGGAGGCAAGGAATTTAGATTCTTTGCTGATATGGGGAGGTTCTGAGCAGGGGATGATCAGATTTTTTAAAAGGTGAGTTCTCAGGAAATACTTGCTGAGTAAATGAAGGAACAAATACACTCAGGGGAGGGCCAGAGACAGGCCAGGCGTGACTATGGCCTGGTCACCTGGCTCTGTGCTCATGGGGGTGAGGGCCCAGACCTGGCTGTGCCCACTCCTGGCCTGGTCAGGGGCAGCAGGCACTTGGTAGTGTCTTCTGAGGTTACCACACCTCCAGAAAGTCCCTTTGAGCCAGGGGGCTGCCTCTGCCTTGGTTTCCTCATTAGTTTGGGACTTCTGGCTTCAGTGGGATTGGCCCTCGGGTTCCCCCCATCCCCAGGTCCTGCTGCCATTGTTTGATTTCCCAAACCACCCCCACTCCCCAAACACACACAAACTTCCCCTTCTGAATTGATAACTGACTTCCTGTCCATGAGCGCTGTGGGAGTGCAGGCACCCCAGCAAACACTGGGCAGGAGAGGTCCAGTGGGGAGAGGGAGGTGGACAGGGACAAGGCAGGCAGGTGGTCTCCCCAGCAGGAAGAGAAAATGGAGGTCAGGGTGGGGTGGGGGGGTAGTCACCTGTCCCCTCTGGAGGGCTGAGAGGACAGGGCAAGCAGGGTTGTGGGAGAATACAGCAGCCCTGATGGTGGCAGGGGAGTCCAGGGTGACCTGTACTTGGGATACAGAGGTGTGCAGGGCCACTCATGAAGCACACAGTCTGATGGGTAGGCGGGTGCTAATCAGATGGTTATGCTACAAAAGCAGGGTTGCAAGCTGAGGCTAGTACCCTGGAGGGAGGACTCAAAACCAAGAGACCCTCCTGGACTGTAGGATCAGGAGCTTCCCTGCCTGAGCTGGAGTTAACTAGGCCAGGGTGTCTCCACCTGCACACTGTTGATCTTTGTTGGGGTTGGGAAGCTGTCCCATGCTCTGTGGGGTCTTGAGCAGCATCCCTGCTCTCTACCCACTCGGTAGCAGTAGCACCCACACACACACCAGTTGTGACAACCAGAAATGTCTCCAGATATCGCCAAATGTCCCCTGGGGGACACAGTTGCCCCATTAAGTACCCTTAAACAAGGGTAAGGGGAGCAGAGTGTTTGGGCAGAGGGACTGGCCTGGGCAGCAGGGCTTGCAGATGCATCATGCAAGGTTCTGTAGGTCACTGTAAGGACTTGTGGGCTTTTCCTCTGGGCCACAAGGGCACTGGCTGCAGTGGGCCCACGTGGTAGACCAGGGAGCTGGGAGCCCATTGAGAGTGATGGCAGTGGCTTAACCCTGGAGGTGGTAAGAAGGAGGCAGACTCCAGGGATATCGCCCCCAGCTGCCCAGGATCCTTCTGCAAATGTGGGCATGGTGGCAGGTGGAACTCGGGTCTGCAGTTTTCCAGGGCCTGGTCCCCAAACAGACACCGGAGTGTTGACCTTCAGGATAAAAATCATTTCTAATTAAGGCTGTTATTGCTCAAGGATGGCAAATTCCATCTTGTTGGGAGGGAAAACCTTCCCCTTCCAATGCTGTCTACCTGCGTTGATGTCAGTCTTCTCAAAAAACCGAATTCAAACAAGTCACTCTTACTGAGTGACAACTTGGTGCTTTTCCACATCCTCGTAACCACACCACCTGGGTGTTAGTTACTGTTATTTGCTCTGCTTATGATGAGACGCGAGAAAAAAAGTGCAGGGACTTGGGACCCAGGGGAGCCTGCTAGCTTCAGCACTTGAATCTCAACGGGCTGCTAGTGGCCTCACCTATAGTGAGTCTTCTGTACTTCCCGCAGCTGCGCTCTCCTTTGCCCCTCACCAGCCCCATTAACAGGGCCTCTGTGAAGTGGAGTTGTCTGAGGTTAGGAGGCCAGGAAATGGTGGTCCAGTACATGTACACCCCCTCCCACCTAAACCCAAATTAGCTGATGCTCCATCTTCAGCGACCAGCACCCTCAGCTCCTTGCACTTGTCTGCAGGCTCTCTCTTGCCTTCAGAGCCTTAGCAGATGCTGTTCCCAACGGCTGGCTTTTCCTGCACATCTTAGCATCAGCATTGCCTCCCTAAGTATGTCCTGCCCCACTGAGTCTAGCATCGTGGGACCTGGTCCCCT